AAAAAAAAAAAAAAAAGAAAAAAGAAAGAAAAAGAAAATAGCATATAGTACTAAACATATAGCTCTCTTCTGCAGTTCTCTCTTCTTTTTTCCCGATACTTGGATCTGAGGTTTGTGTTTCAGTCACCAAGACAGACCGTGGGGAGGAGTTTGTGGGCTAGCAATTTTCTCAGGGTACCTCAAGTTTAAACTGCTTCAGGGATCACTGTTCTACCTGCTCATGAGACTGGTTTTTAAAGATAGAAATTCCACTTGTATATTGTTTGTCTTCTGCCCTTCCTTGAGTGAGGTTGAACTGGTAACACATACTTGTTGTATTAAAAACTATAGTGAAAATAACAGGTTCAGCCATTTGGAACTCTATCAGATGAAACATAAAAGTAGATTGTCACAGTCCAATTTTATAACTGCCACTTTCCCATCCCATAGGACCCTCCAGCCCTCTGTGGTAGTAGGGTCCACACTTCCTGGTTTACACTTGTGGTCGGTATGGTATCATTGTTAACAGGGGAGGGGAAGGGTTGGGGGAATTTGATGACAACCTGTAGTCTAGGTTTATTTAAGGCATTTTGTAAGGTAGGCAGGTTGAGGGGGGTCAATGCAGAGGGACTAAGGAAGGAAGGAAGGAAGGAAGGAAGATTTTGTAAGACTAAGATTCTGGTTTAGTGTTCTTCAAACTTGCTAGCAAGGCATGTGGGGAAAGATGGCTACCAGGACTCCCCGGGGGAAAATGGTGGTGTAGTGCCTTAGGGAGAGTTGGGACAAAGTATCCTGATCCCAAGTGGCCTTGCAAACTTCACAGTCACATATATTTAAGAGACCATGTGACCCTTGCTCAGTGAGCTCATCAGAAATGAGTTGTGTACAGCTGGGCACGGTGGCTCATGCTTGTAGTCCCAGCACATTGGGAGGCTGAAGTGAGAGGATCTCTTGAGATCAGGAGTTTGAGACCAGCCTGAGTAACATAACAAGATCCCATCTCTACAAAAAAAGAAGAAGAAGAAGAAGAAGAAGAAGAAGTGAGTTGTGTGAACCCAAGTCTAGAGGGTCCTCCCAGAATATTCTGCTCTGCCTAAGACCTGCGGACATTTGCTGGCAGGAAACAGGGCAGGTAGGCTGTGAAGTTGCTAGTAATAGCTGAGATCGAATTTCTACCTAGCTCCATGAGACAGGACCTCAGAATAAAATTCAGTTTTATTTTTTAAAAATAAAGGTAAGATTTCCTACGTACCCTAGTTTGTAAAATAAACTAAGTGGCTACCACAGAGAATTTGTCTATCACTGAACCATGGCCACCAGTATAACAGAAGTATTGTTTAACATTGTTTTGTTTAAAGAGATGGTGCTACAAAGAAACAAGTATAAAGTGACAGTCCCTGCTTGTGTAAGGGAACAAGAGGGATTCTAGTAATTGATGCCCTATGAGAAGGACATCTTGTTTTCCAAAGAAACACTGCCGTTTTTGTTGCCAGGATTAGAGAACATCGTCAATGGCTGGCAGAGTCAGGCTGAGAACCACACTGCATTTAGGTTGAAGGGCTTCTGAAGTTTTCAACCTATGTCCCCTTTAAGAACTTTCTTGGACACAGATGTACCTTTTCTCATTTCTTCTGGAAAGCATAACAAAATGCACAGCAGCCACCCTCTTAAGAGATGTTTCTGAACTCCTAAGACCCTATGGCTAAAGGCTCAACAGGAGCCTAGTTGCCTCTACCTTAGCATCTTCCATTTTCTGAATGGATGCCACAGAATGTATCTAACACCTACATAGAAACTCCAATGAAGCGCAGAAAGTCTTTCTTTATAGGGCAATGACTGTAGTTGGAAAATGTACCAACAGACTGTAACAGACCCACCCTACTGACATCAGTAGATCAGTGAGATGTAGGAGGTGGGCGAGATGCAAAAAGTAACCGTGTGTTTTTCATTGGGTTGTGGCACCACAATATAGACAGAATCCCAACTGGGACTGAGGTCTCTGTATGCGGCAGAATAAACAGAGGGTTGGACTAATGTGTGAATCTGTTTTATAGATGAAATCTGTGCTGATGCCACCAAAAGAAATAAACAAAGACTATAACACCGACTCGAAGCACAGTAAATTAGGTGTGACTATCAGTGCACATGGGAGAATCAAAGCAAGTGGATTGTCTTCTGAACACTTACCAAAGCATGAATGGGAACAGGTAGGTAATCAAGGTGTTCACTGGACTGGCAACAATGACACCAACATACATGTTGTCCCTTACAATATAAAAATAAAAGGTGACTTTACAAGCAGACCACATGATTTTCTCGGAATTCATCACTATGTATCTATATCTATATATAGATATAGATACTTTTTTTTGAGATGGAATCTTGCTCTGTCGCCCAGGCTGGAGTGCAGTAGCGTGATCTTGGCTCACTGCAACCTCTGTCTACCGGGTTCAGACAATTCTCCTGCCTCAGTCTCCTGAGTAGCTGGAATTATAAGCCTGTACCATCATGCCTAGCTAATTTTTGTATTTTTAGTAGAGACAGAGTTCCACCATATTGGCCAGGTTGGTCTTGAACTCCTGACCTTGTGATCCGCCTGCCTCAGCCTCCCAAAGTGCTGGGATTACAGGCGTGAGCCACTGTGCCTGGCCATCACTATATTTTTAACAGCTTTATTGAGATATAATTCACATACCATGTAACTCACCCATTTAAATTGTATAATTCAATGGTTTTTAGTATATTCACAGTGTTGTACAACTAGCATCACAATCTATTTTTGAACGTTTTCATCATCTGAAAAAGTAACTACCTACCTATTAGCATTATTCCCCATTCCCTTCTGTAGCCACCCAGTGCCACCTAATAGCCGTAGGCAACCACGAATTTACTGTTTTTATAGATTTGCCTATTCTGAACATGTTGTAGAAATGAACACATGTAATCTTTTGTGTCTGGCTTCTTTCACTCAGCACAATGTTCTGGAGGCTCATCTATGTTGTAGCATGTCAGTACTGAATGTCTATTTGTTGCTGAATAATATTTTATTATATGGATATACGCATTGTATTTATTCATTCATAAGTTGATGGACATTTGGGTTCTTTCCACTTTTTGGCTATTATGAATAATGCTTCTATGAACCATCACATACAAGTTTTTCTGTGCATGTATGTTTTTATTTCTCTTAAGTGTATACCTAGGAGTAGAAGTACTGAGTCATAAGGTAACTCTAAGTAAAGTTTAACATTTTGAGAAAGTCCCAAACTGTTTTCCCAAGTGGTTGCACCATTTTACATTTCCACTAGCAATGTATGAAGGTTCCAATTTCTCTACATCCTCTCTAACACTTGTTATTGTATATCATTTTGATTATAGCCATCCCAGAGGGCATGAGATGGAATCTCATTGTGATTTTGATTTGCATTTCCCTAATGACTAATGATGTCAAGCATCTTTTCATATGTTTATTAGATATTTGCAGATTTTCTTTGGAGAAGTGTCTATTCAGATCCTTTGCCCATCTTTAAAATTGAGTTATTTATCTTTTTATTATTGCATTGTAAGAGATTTTAAAAATATATTCTAAATACAAATCCTTTATCAGGTATATTATTTGCAAATGCCTTCTCTCATTCTGTGGGTTGTCTTTTCCCATTTCTTGATGGTATCCTTTGCAATACAGCAGTTTTTACTTTTGATGACACCCAGTCAAAATGATATCTTTTTTCTCTTTGGTTGCTCGTGTTTTTAGTGTTGTATCTAAACCATTGCCTAACCCAAAGTCACAAAGATCTGTTACTTTGTTTTCTTCTAATAGTTTTATACGTTTAGCTCTTAAATTTAGGTATCTGATCCATTTTGAGTTAATTTTTGTGTGTGGTGGGAGGTGAGATTCCAAATTCATTCTGTTTTATGTGGATATTGAGTTACCCCAGTACCATTTCTTTCTTTCTTTCTNGGAATCTGGCTCTGTCACCCAGGCTAGAGGGCAGTGGCGTGATCTCAGCTCACTGCAACCCATGCCTCCTGAGTAGTAGCTTGGATTAGAGGAGTGCATTACCACACCCAGCTAATTTTTGTATTTTTAGTGGAGACAAGGTTTCACCGTGTTGGCCAGGCTGGTCTCAAACTCCTGACCTCAGGTGATCCACCTGCCTTGGCCTCCCAAAGTGCTGGGATTACAGGTATGAGCCACCGCCCCCAGCCACCAGCACCATTTCTTAAAAAGACTATACTTTCCTACATTTTCTTGACACCCTTATCAAACAATCAGTTGACCATAATAAAAGAGTTTATTTCTAGACTCTTAATTATATTTCACAATCTCTATGTTTATCCTTATGTCAATACTGTACAATTTTGATTACTGTAGTTTTGTGGGAAGGTTTAAAATTGGGAAGTGCGAGTTCTCCAACTTTATTCTTTTTCCAGATTGTTTTGGCTCATCTGGGTCCCTTGAATTTCCATATGAATTTTAGGATTAGTTTGTCAAAAAGCAGCTGAGTTATTGGTAGGGTTGCCTGGAATCTGTAGGTCAATTTGAGCACTATGGCTGTCTTGGGATGTCTGTTTATTTAGATATTTAATTTCAACAGTGTTTTGTACTTTTCAGTATACACGTCTTGCTCTTGTTTTGTTAAATTTGTTAAATTTTGATGCTATTGTAAATAGAATTGTTAATTACATTTTGGATTGTTCATTGCTAGTGTATAGAAATATAACTAACTTATATACTGACATTGTGTTGTGAACTTTGATAAACTTGTTAGTTCTAATAGTTTTTAGTGGATTTCATGTTATCTGTGAATAATTTTCCTTCTTCCTTTCCAATCTGCCTTTTCTTTTCCTTTTTGCTTAATTGCCTTATCTAGAACCTCCAGTACACTGTTGAATAAAAATGATGAGAGTAGATATCTTTGTCTTGTTCTTGATACTGGGGAAAGCATTCAGTCTTTCATCAAGTATATTAGCTGTGTATTTGTTTGCAGTGGCCTTTTATTACATTGAAGAAGTTTCCTTCTGTGCTTAGTTTATTGAGTGTTTTTATTGTGAAAGTATTAGATTTTGTCAAATGCTTTTTCTGAATACATTAAAATGATCATGTGTTCTTTCCCTTTATTCTATTAATATAGTATATTACATTTATTGATTTCAGTTGTTAAACCAACCTTACATTCCTGGGATAAATCCCACTTGGTCATAATGTATAATCCACTTTATTTGTTTACACTTTATTTTATTTTTTATTTTTTCCCTTACATTCCTGGGATAAATCCCACTTGGTCATGATGTATGATACACTCTATTTGTTGCCCAGGCTGGAGTACAGTGGCATGATCTCAGCTCACTGCAACCTCTGCCTCCCGGGTTCAAGTGATTCTCCTGTCTCAGCCTCCCAAGTAGCTGGGATTACAGGTGCCTGCCACTACACCCAGCTAATTTTTTGTATTTTTAGTGTAGACTGGGTTTCACCATGTTGGCCAGGCTGGTATCGAACTCCTGACCTCAAGTGATCCGACCGCCTTGGCCTCCCAACTGCTGGGATTGCAGGCATGAGCCACTATGCCTGTCCTTATAATCCACTTTATATGTTGCTGGCTTCCATTTGCTAGTATTTTTTGAAGATTTTTGCATCTATATGTATAAGAGCTATTGGTCTATGGTTTCTTGTGATAGCTTTGTTTGATTTTGATATAAGTTTAGCCTCATAAGAGGAATTGGGAAGTACTGTCTCCTCTTCTATGTTTTAGAAGAGCCTGTCAAGGATTGCTTTTAGTTTTTCTTCAAATGTTTGATAGAATCCATCAGTGAAGCCATGTGGGCCTGGGCTTTTCTTTGTAGGAAGTTTTAAAATTACTAATTTCAGTCTTTTTCCTTGCTATAGTTGTATTCAAGTGTTTCGTTTCCTTTTGAGTAGTTTGTGTCTTGGTAGTTGTGTCTTTCTTGGACTTTGTTCATTTCATCTAATTTATCTAATTTTTTGGTCTAAAGTTGTTTGTAGTACTCCTTTATATTTTTTTTTCTCCTGAAAGTTTGATAGTAATACTCCCTCTTTCATTCCTGATATTAATAATTTGAGTCTCCTCTTTTTTTCTTGGTCAGTCTTACTAAGGTTCATCAGTTTTCTTGGTCTTTTTGAAGAACCAACTTTTAGTTTTATTGATTTTTCTGTGTTGTTGTCTATTCTCTATTTCATTTATTTCTACTCTAATTGCAACAGTGGAGGATGTCCAAGTTCTTGGTGTCTTGAACAATGAATCAGACAAAATGCACAAACAAAGCAAGGGAGGAATGAAGGGTTCTATTGAAAATGAAAGTACACTCCACAGTGTGGGAGCAGGCCCGAGCATAGGGGCTCAAAGGCCCTGTTACAGAATTTTTGGGAGTTTCAGTACACCCTAGAGGATTTCACTGGTTACTTGGGGTACACCCTATGTAAATGAAGAGTTTGAAGTAAAGTTACAAAGTCATTTTCAGCTTAAGCCCTGTGGAGAGGATATTTCCTGTTACAGCTGAAGTGTGAATTGGCCTTATGTTCCATGCCTCCAGACCCTATTTTCCTGCTTCTTCTTTTATTTTAATGGAGATGTGATCCCCATAAATCTTTATGGGAGCCAGAAGGACTGATGGTCTTTTTCTGTAACTGCTTCATGCTGGCTTGGGGCATAGTCCCTACCTATTGGGGATCACGGAACTCTCACCCTGCTCTATCTAGTGGAGACAGAGTAGCTTCTTGATGGCCAGAGTAGCTTCTTCACCTGGAACTGGCTGGAGCCTTTGTTACATGATTATCTGAAGCTCGATGGTCTCTAGGTGAGAGGAAATGAATTTGGTTAAAAGATTTAATGGGAACTTCAGGGGGTTGATACCTAGGCTGTCAGAAATGTTTGTTATAGAGATTTGCAGGGAAAAAAAACAAATCTGGTCTGTTCTAGAATCTGTGTTTCCTTAAAGTCTTAGCACGAGTGACTCCATTTTGGTTTGGTTTGGTTTGGTTTGTTGGGGCTTAGTGCATGAGCTCAGTCCAAAACAATGGCCTCCCAGAATTTCGTTAAAAAAATTATCCTTTTTTGGTCAGGTTCTTATTTAGTTGAGAGTATGACCAAAACTTAGGGCCTCAGTGCCACTCTCAGCTATCACCATTATGGGTTTCCGGTCTTAGCACGTCATTGATAGATTATGGTGTCCTCATGGTTGCTCATTT